CCCCCGGGCGGCAGCAGCACCGCCAACGGGGGTGTCTCGGTCGGGAAGGGGTCCAGCACCCGCAAGACTGCCAGCGCCATGGTGACAGTAGACCAACAAGCACCGTGAAGGAGCGCGGTTTCCGGAGCCTTAGAGCCAGCCGTCCAGGCGACAAACACACCGCTTCCGCTTCCGCCGGGGGAGGAACGAGGGAAGTAGGCGGGGCGTACGGTACACGGAGCATGATCCTGGAGGGTGAGCTGCACCTTGGACTGATCAGCGTGATACCTCGATGGCAGTAAGGCGATCGCTGCAGTTACACACGCGCCCTTTGAGACGTGTTTACAGAGATTTACCTTACGCGCCTGCTCGGGGAGTAACGTCCTGTCAACTAGCCTGCCCCATAGCATGTACTTAACAGTTTATTGAATGATCAATGAATGGTCCAGTGCCCCTTGAACCAAAGCTGACCCCCTGCTGGGAGCTGTGGAGTGTTTAGGAAGGAGTCCACTCTGCGAAACTGTAGGCACTTAGGTTTGGGGGTTGTGAGGAAGATTGCACGAGGGAGTGGTAGGATTATAAAACTGTCTCAGACATGCTTATGGATATGTAGTGGTTGCTGGCTGAATAACTATATGTGATTCATGTAGCCCTGAAGTGCTTGGTGCTGCCACACCTGTTTCAACACATTCTACACAAAACCCACGTTCCAGCGTTTCTTGTCCTGTTTTTTGTCCTGTTCGATCTACTCCCACCAAATTTGAAGTGAAGACAAAGCAGCTTTGCATTTTCATCTCTCCAAAACTGGCTGCTCTCCCTCCACCAATCCTTGCAGACTGGAGACCCATTCCTGTTTCTATCCTAGAGAGGGGTGGGCAGCAGAGCAGGCAGAAGAGAAGGGTTCAAGGCTTCAGTCATGAGTACAAAACCAACAGCTTTCTTCCCGTCTGTGCTGTTACTTAGAGTACATCCTTGTCTTCCGCTCTGTATAAGACACTTGGACACTGGTTGGTCACACTTCCAGTTATTAACAATATACTTGCATTTAGAATCAATGGTTTGATTGGTGGCAGTCTACTCTTTCTGGACCTTGCATTCTCTTCCAACGATTGCCCAAATTTCTCCTTTCCTTCATCTTGAGGCAGTCTTCTACTTTGTACATTATGTATTCCTGAAAATTTTCTGAAAATTTGAGAGGTGAATATTATATTTTCATGTTATAAGATATTTCTATCCCTAGAGAGACAAGGAAATATTTTTTAAATGTTTGATTATAGTTTCTGGAGGTACCTTTAGTCCTAAACCTGAAATTGCCCAGTTTCACATCTTTAAAAAATTAATTTATTAACATTTTCTTTTTCTTTC